CGGCGGGCGCCACGTGACGGCGGCGGCCAATGGCGGGCAGCCCGCGAGGGTGGCGTGAAATGGCGGCCGCGGCGCTGGGGAAGGCGGCGGGCAGCGGAGCGGCCCTGGGAGGCGTCCGGGAGGGTCCAGGGCGCTGAGGCGCCAGGGACGCGCGTCAGTCGGGAGCCACATGAAGGCGAGAGCTCCCGCGCACAAGGCTGAGGACACACACACACCGTGGGCCATGCCCGTGTCACCYGTGTCCCCAGGACGCTCCTGCTACCTGTGTGGCCTCTCCCTGTCCCTAAGGCCACGGTGGAGCAGAAATGCACAGGTCACTGACCAAGGAATCCACCCAGCCTGGAGATACTGAAGGCTCCAGGAGGCTCCTGGATGGGCACAAGGCTGCTCCTGTATTTAGCTCTTCGGTACCTAMACTTTATCACTGTAAACACAATACTTGGAATTACATGGTCAGGTAGACAGGGAGGGCACAACAGTCGTCACCCTGGTAATTTTGTAGCTAGGAAATGCGATAATGCACAAAACAGGCAGGCAGCTGCAAAAGCCGCTCCACTAGTATCCATAGCCAGTCACACAGATCCCTTGGCTGTCACGGCACATTTGGAAACAGGTTTTTCCAAAGCTCATTCGGAGCTCATCTGGTGTGTCAGGTTAGGACAAAAGCTTTATGTGCTGCCAGTAACATAAGGGCTACTTTTTAACTCGGAGAACAATTAAAACCTTGGTTGAAAAGGTTCTCCTCTTGCAGTCAGGRAGGGGTTAAAGCAAATAAATATTTTTGACAGCTGTTACTACAGAGATGGAAATAATTACAGGAATAATTATGAAGACAATAGATTTTCCAAGAGAGAAACGAGCCTGCGTTAGGAACTTACGAAAACAGAGGAATATATAAGATCAAACTGACTGAACATCATCACTGGCAGATGGAAACATCAACATTAGCTGGAAGAGACACCCTTGCTTAYAGATTAAGGGAGCAGGTGAATGGATAATTGCTTTCTGATAATTTGCAGCACGTCAGATATGTCACTGTGACGTATCTGACATGCTGCAGCTACCATGCATGACTTGCGGCATGCGTGCTGCACTGCGACGCACCTGATGCACTGCAGATTGTCTTTCCTCTTGCAAGAAGTGTTAGAATTATGAAAATCATTTCGTCAATCGCAGCCACAAGAATACTGAGACAAGCCTTTGCAAAGTGTTATCTCCAAACCTGAACAGCAGAGATGTTTCATTCTTCTGTTTGTTCATTGGGGAAGGTGTCCAGTTGAAAGCCTTAAGAATGACAGAGACAGGATGGAGGCACTTTCAGTAACTGTTCTTTTTAAAAATATTTTTCTTAACATGGCACAAAGTTTCTTACGGTGCACTCCTATTAGTTGAACTATGTAATTTGTATGCCCGAAGCGTGACACTGTATTTGAAGGTCAAGACAGAATAAAGAATTGATTAGAAAAGCTTTGATCATCAATGTTTTACCTTGGAATATAGCAGAGAAGGTATCTTACTTATTTTCATATATTAAGACTGATAAGAGAGAAATACATGATACGCTATGGGAAACAATATTTCCTAGAATGCTACTTAAAGGCAAAATTTGGCCTTTCTGTGCAAGAAAGTCATCTTATTGTTAGCTTTTGCACTGGAGAATGGGGGAGGAAAAATGATGTTCTTGACAGGGAAGGAAATTATTTAGAAAGCTCCAGAATTCACCAGAGAGGGCAGAAGGGKCTGCTAGGAGGTCCCCACACCATCACACACACCACAGCAACCCGACAGAGAAGTCTGTAATACCACAGCAGCTGTGGACCCGTTCTCCATGAGCCCCCCTTGCCAAGGCCAAACCAGGCCCTTCCCCATCTCTCCTCCTGGCCGACCAAAACACCTTCCCCAGCCTTACCTGGGGTCTCTCCTACCTTTGTGCTCCACATCTCAAGCAGACCTGGCAATCTGCCTCTCTCCAGCCACTGCCCAGTGATGCCATGTGCCAGCTCTCCTTGCTGCTGGGCCCTGTGACACGACTCTCCTCGTCCTTCAGTTCTCTGCTGAGAACCCTTCTAGCCAGAGCGCTCACTGTGGAGCCATGGCTACTCCCAGCTAGACCTAGGACTGTGGGTTAGGCAATCCCAGGCCCTCCTAGGACATTACTTGTTACAGTTTATCATTAATAGCTTATTATGTTTATTTAGATAAATTAAATAAAAAGGCTACAATATATCAAAAATATAAATAATTTCCAAAATACATATACTACAAAATCTGATTTTTTTTTTTAAAAAAGTGTTCATTTTGCCAAGACCTTTTCAGATTCAAAACTCTCAAATGCATGCAAGTCCGAAGAGCTCACAAAATACATTAAAAAGTCAACCTTTTAGGGTCCAAGAGTTCCATATGTTGTTCACAACTTCTTTTACAATAGGTTTAAGAACAGACTGCTCAAGGAAGAGATTTTAGATCATGATACAAGAAGTGCTGCAAAGTCCAGTGGTCACTATACCACCTCCTTAATAAAAATTATCTCTCAAGGATTTGTTCTGCTCTAGCTACAACAACAAGGTAACAAACACAGCCCTCAGAAAACGGAGCAGATAATATCTTGGACATCCCAGCATGCAAGCACCTGCTGCATGCTGGACACACACGTTGGAATCCAGGCTTGCACTCAGTACCTGGTGTCACAGGACACTGAGAAGTCATCAGATACAGTTTAGAAAAACAGCTGCATTGTTGTACAGCTGTTTCAGAAACACAGATTTAGGAGTTTTACCAGAGACTGCCAGATGAACCTAGGGGAGCAGAACCCTCATTTCCACAGTGTCCCCCTGCCTTGGCAAACAGTAGGGCCACTCAGATACTGAATAACTTCCTGAAGGGTCTAAAGAGTCAGGAAGGAAACAGGGACCTAAAATTTATCAGAAAAAAATGGAAAGCAGAGATAAAGAGGAGAAGAAGCAGGGGAGAAGGGCACCAATAGGAGGCACCTGTGCAACTGCTGCTGGAAATGGGAGAGAGGCCTCCATTCAGTATCGTTTCCTCTGTTTTTTGTTCCTCTTTTGTTTGGCTTCCTTCTCCTTCCGCTCTGCGGCCGTGGTGAAGGTGATACATTGAGCATCTAAAAAATCCAGCAGCTTTGCCTTGGAAATCTTGATGCCGTTCCCTTTCAGCTCTAGGTGCAGTGCAGCCAGCTCAACTGGCTCATAAAAGAGGATCTTGTGGTACAGGGCTGGGTTGGAAAGGATGTAGTTCCTCACCGCCTCCAGCGTTTCCGCCTCCCGGGCTGCTGCCTGAGAAGCTGGGAACTCCTCTTCCTCCTCTTCAGACACAGTGAAAAAGGAACTAGAAGTGAGAAAGAGCAGAAAAAGCAATCAAGGAAAGAACTGCTCATCCAGGGCACGCTCAGAGCTGCTCAAGCCCCTGACAGCCAACCCTGCGATGCCCTGGGTAGGATCTCCAATACCAGCAATTGCCAAACGAAGAGGAAGATGCCACATGTTCTGCACACCTAGACATCCCAGCCRTGCTGTGCCAGTCCTGTGCTGCCTGCCCTTCCTTGCTCCTGCCTGCACTGCTGCTGTYGTCCTCGTGGGCTCCTCTGCGCAGCACCATGTGCAGCGCCTGCTCAGTGTCCCCTCCCTGCTCTTCTCGCAGGCCCTTGCTCGACCCGGCGAGGCCCCTGGCAGAGCTACCAGACCGGGCCAGCTTTGGGCTCTGCCCACGGGCAGTTTCACCCAGGAGCATTTCTGTGCTCTCAGAATAGCCCACTAGCAATTAGACCAGAACAAACAKCAGCAGAACTTACTTGAAGTGACAAAAGCTCAGGGAAGACAGGCTACAGTACAGAGCCCCTGTATTCTGCATTGACACTCATTTCTTTGTTTCCCACTTTCCCAGCTCATCTCTGTGCTGGGAGTAGAGAGACTCCTTTGTTAGTATTTTGCTCCCTACCTCTGTATTGCGATAGAGACGTCGCTGCCATCCAGTGAGGAATATGAAGATTCCTGAGATGATGAGAGCATCAGCTCCGCCTCATCAGCTAGCAGAGTGCCCCTGTCGGGAGATACAGTTGATGTCTTCTGTTCCTTGGTTCCTCTGGCCTGAGATGTCCTTTTAGTCCCTTTCTTAGCTGCTGCCGGGCCTGTTGCAGGGGGTGCAATCAAATCCTCACCSCCAGCACCGTGCCCAGCCAGCGCTGAGGAGGCCCTAACAGCCTGTTGCTTTTTCCTCACAGTTTTTGAGGTTTTGGCACGTTTTCCACCTGTGGTCCTGTTTGTCTTYGTCTGCCTACGGTGTTTGGCTGGGGGCTTCTGCGAGGGAAACTGGGAGGATGGGATATCGTCCACTATGTCAGCATCCACATCCATATCCACGTCCTGGTGCGTATACTGGAATATCTCCTTCAACTTTAACACCATCTGGCGTTTTGGGAAAGGACGAACTCCAAATCTGAAAGAGAAAGGTGGGAGTGTAGGCTAAGATAATGCTGCACCTTCCACTGTTATAGCTCAAGAATGTGACCAAGCCAGGAAGTCCAGTGGCCAGCTGGAAGAGCATGACATTGGAAAACCACAAGGTTTTCCTCTCCAGCACAGCAGCTTCCTTTCACACTACCTGCCAGCAGGTTTCTTACACAATCACAGAGTGCTTGAGGCTGGAAGGGACCTCTAGAGATCATCTAGTGCAGCCCCCCTGMTCCAGCAGGGACACCCAGAGCAYGGGGCACAGGGTGGCATCCAGGCGGGTCTGGAAGACCTCCAGAGAAGGTGACTCCACAACCTCTCTGGGCAGCCTGTGCCAGGGCTCTGTCACCCTCACAGGAAAGAAGTTCTTCCTCACATGGAGATGGACCTGCCTGTGTTTTAATTTATACACATATATATTTTTTTCTGCTCATTAAGAGATGTACTTGTGGATGAAGTGCTAACCTGCTCAACTCCTTCTTTAGTTGTGGGGTCTCCATAAGGGAATAATCTGGCATTGGTGTCATAGGAGTCTCAGGAGACTTGTCCCTCTCTTGACAGGTAGGTTCTGCAACAGAATGAAATTGTCATCAGAATTAGTATAGAAGAATGTAAGAGATAACTTCCCCTCCTGGGAGGCAGATATTTTAGTGTTATATAATAACTGTTTTAGAAGCACTACTTGTCTGAAAGCTGCTCTGCTAAATACCTTTATATTGAACAGATACCTTTATATTGTCTTCCTGTGGTCTAGGATATTTGTTTTTTATTGTCTTTAAATCAGAAAACAAATTGAGACATATGTTAGGTCTGAATAAAGAAGTCCAGTGAAGGCTTTGTTAGAACTGTTGCAAGGTAATTAAAAATATATGTTTACTGAATTCTGTGAAGTTGTTCTTTCCCCAGGAAGAAAATGTCATAGTAGAGACCTGATGCAGAAGAAATCAAACAAGTCAAGAATCTGAAGGGCTGAATTAGATACTGCTTTAGTGCTACTGATCTCCTGATAGTGTAAAGCACAGTCAGTCCCATAGATCAGGTTCTAAACCCCTGTTGTTTAACTAATTACTTAGGATAGTACAATTAGTAACATAGCTWAAAAATATTAAGAAATCAATTACTATTCCAAGATCTTAGATAGAAGGAAATATGCAAGTGCAACACAAAGTACTAATCCTAGTAAGCAGCTGACCCCAGAGAGGTGTGTTAGTGTTTTGTGTGTTGTCAGACATTCAAGCAGACAGGGCTCAGCTCCTGACATCACTAAGCAGAATCTGTTGGCAAAGAGCAGCTTGGCTCTTAGTCTCTTGTGTGTGCCATTCGCTGTGTCCCCTGGGCGAGACCTCAGCTGTACACACGAAAATCTGTTGGAAGAGCTTAGAACCAGCAAACAGAAGGCAGGGCAAGTCAAAGCAAGGGCAAATCAGAGGAGCTTTACAGGAAAACATGCAGAGCCTTCCAGTGGGCAGGAGAGGCACCTACTTCCAGCCAGCCTCTACACTTCTACTACTGGAAGCAAAGCTTACCTGATATCTTCATGTAAATGTTAGCACATACATCAATTATGAATGCATGAAAAACGCAAGACCCATTGCAAGGAATAAACATTCTCTAGCATGCCAGGTGCAGGCTGTTTTATTTATTTACTTATTTCCTTTCTGGTAAGGTCTTATCATTTCTACACTGCATACTATCACTGTCAAAGACCCAGCATGAATGCAACACAAATGAATGCAGCAATCCCACGTATTTAGTAGCACTCTGTCACACATCAGAAGCTGACTGTACCTTCTTGTGCCTGGCCCTGATTGCTTTGAGTTAGAAGGCCAAAACACCCTCCCAATATACCTGGTGAACAAATAAACCTGGCGAACAACAAATAGGATGATCGCTTACAAGAACAACTTAACCAAGTTCAATGAACCTCGTACGGATACAAGCTCTCACCAGGAGTCTTTACAAGGTCTGTCTGACGGACATCTGCTGAAGCTGACCCCTTCTGAGGTACAGGAAGCATCTCTGGGGATTCATCTTCTTCATTATGAAAATCTTCCCAGAATTTGGTGTTCAGGAAACTTTCCCTGCCGCCTTCTGATGACCATGCCTCAATAGGGCTCTTTTCGAGGTGAAGCAAAGTTGTTGCTCYGTCACTAGGACTTCCCTGAAGAGGGGTACTGCCCTTGATTCCCTGGGCTTGGGCCGGGCTCTCCCATTTGACAGGCCAAGAGTCAGATCTGGGGCTGCCGGCAGGGCTTGGGCTTGCACAGCCAGTTGGGCTGGAGTTCTGGTTGTTACCTCTCAATGGTGACAGATACTTAGTGTGCCAGAAGTCATCAACAGGGACTGGAGGCTCGTCGTGAAGCAAGACACTGCTGCCCAAAGAAAGCCGACTTGTTTGCTCTTCGCTTTCGCTGTCCTTTATCTCAACCACATTGGTATCTGTTTCATCTTCCAGTGCCTGTTCATGACATGGAGACACAGGTTTGGWCACTGATGAGCTCTTGGCACATTTTCTTTCCATGCTGGTGTAGCCGAGGGAAAGATGTGAATCCTCTGGAGAAGCTAATGAGGTGTCAGTGGAAGATGACTCTGTTGCTTGGCTGTTGGAAGGTCTCCTTTCATCAGCTGAGTTCTCCCTAGGCAACTGTTTATCTGACAGTGACATTTCAGGAACTTTTATGAGGCTGATGGCCATTTCATGGTCACTTTTACCTGCCACTAAGCTCTTCGCCTTGAGTTGAGACCTGGATTTCTTTACACAGTTTACACTTGTGACCTGTGTCTGTGTTGAGATATTTCTGCTTTTGTTCTGAAGTGGTGTGTCTGGCACTAGCCAGGAGCTGTCCATACCCAAAGACTCCTCGCGACTCTGCCCTTCTTCATGGCTCAGGTTCAGACTCTGTTTGCTCTCTATGCAAGCACCCACTTGGCTGCTGAGAGGCAACTCTCTGGACATCTTTACATCATTATTTGTATGTGACACATCTGTAATGAGACATGAGACCCGGGATGATCTCAGCTGTATCTCAGTGATAGATGGGGAGTTATTCTCAGGTATGGGGATCCCAGGACCATGTTCTACACTACCACTTTTCAGTTGCTTGGAGAYTTCCATTTCCTTCACAGGAGAGCCCAACTGCGGTGACCTCCTCTCTTGTTCTAGCTCCATTTCATCATCAGAAGATAAAATAATAATATCGGCTTCCTTCCTCTCCTGGACTGCAACATCCTGAGTTCTTATGACTGGTGCTGACAAAACTGAAGCATATTTATGCCCATTTAGATCAGTGCAGGAAAGCTCTTCTGGAGAAATTGTGCTCTCTGTGTTCCCATTTCCTGATGTAAGGTCCTGCTCATTGCCTTTCTGGAAAGCTATTTTGGGAGATGGGGAGGATTTTTGATTTCTCTCTGGTGTTTCTGCTTCTCTGGGAAATTTCCAGTTTGATTCTGGAGACATAGATGAAGAACCAGTTGCAGGAAAAAAAGGCATATAAGCTTTGGGAGGAGAACTGCCACAAAAGCTATCTCTGTGTGGAAAAAGATCTTTTTGTGACTTGGTGTAAGCAAGCAAATCATTAACATCAGCATGTTTTTCACTAACAGTCTTTCCTGACTCTTTGATAACTTCTTTCATTGGAGAAGGCTCACAGTGTTCATTCCTATCAGTATCCTTGTGCAAGCCGGTGAACTGTTTTTCTTCCAAGTGGTCTCCCTCTCCCACATTATGTGAAGCCTGAGACAACTTGAAATCTTTCCCGCTTTTCAAGCTCCTAACACACTTCTGAGGTTCAAATTGGCAAGGCTCAGAATTAATGTCTGTGGCATTCACATTTTTGCATCCACTTGTATTCTGCATTTTCTCTTCTTCAGACAAGTCACAATTGGATGTTTCCATGTCACTGTCTTCCCTTAGATGTTTGTAGTCATTGCTTAGCACGGTGGACACAGACCTTTTTGCCTCATCTTTCCTAGTCTGCTGGCTGACACCTTGGGCTACCTCAGTATCACTGCAGATGTTGAAATCTGTGCCTTCACTCATCTCCAATTCATCCTGAACCATTTTTCTTTGAGTTGCAGCAAACTCATATATTTCCTCCAGCTCCTGTTCACCCACCCCATTGTCATCTTCYTTCTGGCATGCAGGGTTTAGCATAGCTTCTTCTTCCTCATCTTCACCCACCCACACTGAGTTCAGGAGCTCTTGGAAGTTCTCAGCTCTGTTGTCATTATCTTCGTCATCCCTCACAGAGATGAGATCATCTTCTACATCCACTTCAGAAGACACTTGACTCTCTCCAGCGCAGTCCTCACACTTGACCAGAAGTTCCCTTAAACCAAACCTGCGAGAACGTAACACAAATGTTAACGTTTCTCTCCTTCAAAATTCCCCCATGTTACAGCGCCTGATCAATCTAGTGAGTCTTGTGAAGAAAGTTAAACTTAGTTTGTGAAACTGTSGTGCTAAATTAGACATGCAGTTTTATCCTTATTAAAAATATGTCAATAACAATTTCAGGTTTTCACTCCATTTCACCATAATCTTCTCAGGTTTCACACTTATTTTCCTCCTTCCAAACAATGCACTCCTGCCTCTACAGAAGATAAACTCATACCTAATCAAGGAGAACTGATTACCTGACTATCAAGATAAAGGACAGATTTTTTTTTCCTGGTCTTTTTCAGAATTTCTTTAAAAGGACATCTACATTTCCAGAACTAAGTGATTTTGATCTGGTAGGATGTATTTCATCTGCTCCTGTTTCAAGCTCATTATYTAACACATGTCTAGGATCATGAGTGAGTAGTGTCTACAATCATGACCGACATAAGAAATTAGCATTCCCTGCATCCACATTCTGCAAGTCTCATTCAGATCAGCTGTGTCACTTGTGCAATGCCTTGAGAATTAACACTTATCACCATAGCCACCATCATCTGTCATTAAAGATCTTGAGACAAAACTTGACAAAAGTGTACTAGTCATAAACCAAAACCAGAAAATCTCAAGATGTATCCTGAAGAAAGATTCATGAAAAGAAAAGGATAAGATGCTCTTGTGTTCATATTTCACTTAAGAGAAAAGCAGAGGTGCTGGAATCTTAAGTGAAATGAATTTTGTGGAAGCCACTGRAACCACAACAGAAGATATCAGGTTAAAGTCCATGTGGCTGAAAGCATGAGGTGATCCAAAGCACACTCATATGATATAAACCTGGTAGCCAAAGCTCTTAGCTGGGGCAGAATTCTAGCAGGGACGTCAGCATCAGCAGCATAAAGATATCGCAGGAATGCACAGGCTGCCTCTTCCGTCACGTCACTCAGCAGCACTCGGCGTGTCTGCTCACTCCCRTCCTCCTTCACAAACAACCCTTCGTTGTAAACCTGTGAGGTAAAAGGAAAGCAAACAGGTCCCCTTCCTCATAAAGGAACAACACCAGCAGAATCTTCTGTCAGCCTACTCCTTCCTGCCCCTACAGCATTTAACTTGTACCCTGAAGATTTCATGGACCACTTAGAAATGGTCCTTTTACAAAGAACAGCTTGTAAATATTGTCTRCTCCACAATCAAAATTGTCAGAAGACAGACAGAAAGACAGACAGATGTACCAGTAGGGACAAGGTAGTCTGTGCTTACACAGGTACAAAAATTAAAGGGGGAAAAAAAAACCCAAAAGACAAAAAACACTTAGAAAACTTCCTGTCCTGCTTATGGGCAGAATGCAAGTAACAATCCTTAACCTTCCTCTTCTCATTCAGGACAAATTACCACTTTTTTTTTTTTTTTTACCAAGTTGTCAAGATTCATGCAAAGTGAAAAGCTGAAAAATCACTGCAGGTCCAGAGTCACTTGCCACTGGATCGCCAAATACTCTGTGTTTACTGTACAGAAGCATTAACTCATTTAGGTGTGGTCAGTATGGAATAGCTGGTCAAATTCCTGTTACTGCAAAGGTGCTTTACTCAAGTGGAAGAGAAAAGTCTATGAGCAGTACTTACCAGCTGAACAGCCCGAGGACACCGYGCATACAGCACAAACATGTGGGCATAAAGGATTTCTCCAGAGTCCACCTGAAACTGCACGTCACTCAAGTGGGGGTTGTTGACCATGACACTGAAATCTGCTGCCAGCATCTTGAGAGAGGACTAAAACATAGAAGGGACACAAAGACAGAAGTTGTCACGGCTGTAAGGCATTCTCCTGGTAAATASAGAAACAACAACTCAGTTTGTCAGTACTGCTGTAGTCTGGGTCCCAGCGTGGACATTGCTGCCTTTGCCTTCTCAGTACTGACAGAATCCTTATCAGTGCAAGGCTTCCATAAGAGACATAAGCAGGCTAGTCCAACACACATCTCTGACTTTGTTTCTCTCCTTCTCCTCTCTTCAAAGCCTAGCAGCTGTGAAGGAGAGGCAGGCACACRCTGTCTTCCTCTCTACTTGTGTCACAGCCTTGCCTTACAGCACATCATCATCCTCTGATCCTGACCACATCACTTCCTAATGTGGTAGAGCCACTGCCTGCACTTGGCCTCTTGCTGTGCTGCCTTCCACCATGGTTTTCAAAGCTGTAATTCCCGCCTTGATGGAAGTGAACTCAGTTCATAACAATTGGATAGAACAAGAGGAATGAAGATGACTCAGGGACAAGGTCATGAGCCTTTCCTCTCCTGTTCACTGTTTCAGTCTGCCAGTGACAGCTGGGAAGAAGCCCTCTGCAACAAGGGGCCAATATGGAATAACAGAAATGTAGGTATCTAGTCCAAAGGAACTTGTGCACCTGCTACTGAAATCCCTTTTGAAAATTCCACTTACTTGGGAAAAAACAACCAACCAAACAACAACAACAACAAAAAAAAAAACAAACAAAAAAACTATTTACTCTTGTAATTTTAGAATGCTTTACCAAAATCTCGGGGAAGGCCGGTTGCCCGAGCTATCTGTGACTAGTTTAATATCTGGAGCTACCCCTACTACAAACCCACTCAAAGMAATCTTCTAAAGACTCAGATTCCCCAGGTAGGAGTGTTGCTTCTGGAGGTGACCAGTGCTTCAGAGAAGTGTGAAACATCCGCGGCCCATAGTTGAGGAAAGCAGCCTGACTGTAAGTGGAAAGTAGCTTTACCTGACATACTAATCATTATCCTGTACTTTCTGAACCTAATGCAAACYGGAAAAAAGGCAAGTTCTATCCAACTGCACGAGATGCAGTTCCACTGGCAACAGCAGAACTCTTTWTTAGCAGGTTTCTGTGTTAGTTCAGTGGAAACTCAACCTCTCTGCCTCCTCCAGTGTGTTTGCAGGAAGCCAATAATGGTTAGTGTGGAAACAGCAGCACATGTTGGGCCATTTGTTCCAGGCTTCACAGGTGGGCTAGAGGAGACTCTGTATGTCATGGCAGCGGGGTGGACTGCTCTCCCAGGGCAAGACAGGAAGCTCCATCTGGAAACTGATTAGGTGTTTCTTGCTCTCTTTTTTTTGGCAGGTAGGACACCTGCAGGACAGTACCCTGGGAAGCCAGTAACCATGTTCCAGGCAGGAAGCCCAGAATAGCTTTCCTGCTGATGCTAAAATTATGACTTGAAAATGGGGAAATTAAGTGAAAATAGAAATATTCTGGCTGCACCATTCTCTGTGCAAAAGAAAGACTGGAAAGGAAGATAAGAGGAGAGGCACTTACAAAGGTCTGTTCACAACCACCCAAAATGGGTGTGTACATGAGCCTGAATGAAACCCCAGATAGTTCTGCCTCTCCTGGGCTCCAGGAAGTGTGGCCTGTGTCATCTAGTCTGGACAGCAAAGCAGAGTATTACCTGAATGCTGAGCAGATAAAGCYCTAGTAACTACCCCAAATACACTATGTACTACAGCCTCAATATTTCACTTGGTTCTCTTTGTAAAATTATGCACAGATTTGATTTGTGTTACCTGTCATTTTAAATCAAGTAGGACAAACACTCTGAAATCACCACAGGCCTGCCTGTGGGCATCAATGAAACATCACTTATCATGATTCCAACATCTGTGATGATTCCTGTGAGCGACTGTGATCCTTAAACATCTCTGTTTCTGTGAAAATGAATGGGAAACACTCCATACTTCTGTAAATTAACCAAATAGGAGAGCTGCCTTTGTTTTTTTTCCTTTCTTTTTTTTTTTTTTTTTTTTTTTTTTTTTTTTTTTTTTTTTTTAACAGTGCAAATAAACAATACAAAAAAAGGAGGGGGGGAATAACATTTGTTCTTACATTTATATCGTTGCTTCTCAGAAATCTCTTCTCTTTGGATGGCGGAACAAAGCCACTAAGTGAAGTATCAGTGGAAGTCAATTCTTTTCCTCAAAGGAGAAAAGGCACATCTCAAGGCATGTATAACGTTCTTGTAAGACAGAGTGAAATGGGAACTCCTAATAGCATCCCATTACAACTCCCCAAGACTCCTGTCCCAGGCTGACATTTCTGAGCTGAAAGGCTCAGCCTCCCCCCTCTTGCCTTTGGTGTCTCAGCATATGACCAGCAGCCATTTGCTACAGCTTAATAGGAGAACTGAARGAATTTTACCCAAGTAAAGTACCAAACAGACAGACATGAGACTTAGCAACCACATTCTTCATTAATGAGTGAACAGGAGACACACAGTATATATATTATGCTAAATGGTTGGACTATTGGTCTTAATTTTAAGGCTACCATTAGTCTTGGAATGTGCAGTTGTGCAATGCACACCACTGTAACTGAGGAGGTTAGAGTTGCTCTTGGAGGAATTCTAGGTGGTGCATTTTTTTCRGATCAACTTCAGGGACTGTGCATCCATGTACAACACCCCATCATCCCTCTTACGCTCTTCTTTCACCAGGACTTCTCCCGGTGAAACCTTGTAAGACAGGCTGTCAGCAAAAGCCAATACGCAGAAAAGAGCAGCATGGGGTATGTTTTTGCCTCACCATTGGCCAAGTTTGGGCTCCCAGCTGGCAGAAATGCGTCTGACACCTTTAAAGGATTTCTAAAATAAAATTTAGAAGCTGCCAAGACAAGCTGTTTTTTTAATATTGGGATCTTTGAATCATTTCAGAAATGTCAACTTGATTGTATCTAAAGCCTACTACAGAATAATGYCCCCAAATATCACCTCCTGGGTCAACATCATGATCTTGCGGCTGCTGTCACTGCTCTCCAAGTTCAGTATGGCTAAGTGTGGTTCCTCATAGCTGATGGCACCAGAGAGGAGGCTCATGAGGCTGCCAGAACTTACTTGGCTGCTCTACTTCCTGAGCGTGGTTAACATCAAGGCTCCATTGAGTAAGAGTTTGTCCTTCCCTGGCCAACTCAACCAGGTCCTGGAGAGTCTGAATGTCCTTCTGGCTCTGAGATGAAAACTGTCCAGCCCCTTCAGAGTCTGTGCTGGCTTCATCAGTAGTTCTGACTTTAGTCTCTGTAGAAGCAAGATCATGAGGAAGGAGATCAGGTTGAAGCTGCTGAGATACTTCTGGCTGATCAGATCCCACTGATGGCAGAACAGTCTCTGACTTATAATTCTGATCAAAAGAGAGAGAGAGAGAGAGAGAAAAAAAAAGACACCAATAAATTAATTTGTATGTGTTTGCAGAGTTCTGTGCAGAGCTCAGAGCTCTGTTTCTGAATTGATCTCTAGTTCATACTTTCAAAATATCCTAATAAAAATCAATAAAATACTTAGAGCAATCCCCAGATATACTTTCTTCTTGGAGAGCAAGTATGTAATAAGGTGACAGACTAAAAGAGTCCTGTTTTTGTAGGCAGTGTTTATAAAACTACAGAACAATGAAAGTGGCAAGACATCTGGATAAGAACAGAGTGAAACTGTCCACTGTAAAACTGTATCACAAGCTGTATGCACCTGCATGCAGTGGGATGCATGGGGAAAGCCTGAAGCGCAAATGCTTCACTTTTACAATTCTAGGTGTTTCCATCCTCTCCTMTATGTAAGAGGCAAACATCAATCCTCAGTGTAAACTTTTCACACAGGTCCTTGCTGCCTTAATGCAAAACATGAGTAAAGAACGGCTCATATTATAATCAGAGAAAAATATCAAGAGAGAACACAAGAGTCTGGCTACTCTAAAAATAGCTGAGTTAGTAGCAAAATGAAGAGATTGAAGCCCTCTTAACAAATTCTCTCCCTTCCCATCTGTTTTGTTTTCCAAAAGCTCAGAGAACAGCATGACAACACAAGCCTCAGACTCCTGTCCAAAAGGGAGAAGTGAAAGCTCAAGATCACAAAATCTTCTTGCGTGCGACCAGGGGACAATTGTGCAGGAGCAGTGAGCATGCAGAGGCATGGGGTGACTCATTTAAATACCAGGCAAAGAGAAGGGTTGCAGAGCAAGTGAACTGTGGCACACAAATACCAGAGGAAGGAGAAAGAGCATCCCACCTGCACAGTTTTGCAAGGTACAATTGGAGGGGTCAGCTCAGCAGTGTAGAACAACTCAGGGTCACAGGGCCCTGTTAGAGCACTGCTATTCCACAAAAAGCAGTCCTTGTTTCTGGGCAATGGCATGAGCCAGTCTGCTTTCCCAGATCCATCCTCCAAAATCCTACTGGCAGGAAGCYGAGGGGTGGGAGGGAACTCCATCTCCTGGGTAAGCAGCATGGCCACTCGCTCTTCRGTCCTTTTGCGGACCCGCTCTGGATCCTGCAGCAGCAATGCTGGAGGAGCAGCTGAGCCTCTTCTACGTGTTTTTTTCTCTTTAAAAAGAAAAGCAAAAGAAACCCAAATAAATGAACAGCTGAACACACAAGCAGAGGCATCCAAGCTGCCAGCTCTTTCAGCTGTTGCAGCTGACAATGACCAAAATGCAACTACAGCAGAACACAAGATTTCTGCAACAAGTCCCAAGTCTCCCATTTCTTCTGCTGGAGAAACAAACCTTCGGGGAAGACTTACTCGTGCACACATCGTCCTGCTGGGCTGAGCTGTCAAATCAGATCATTATGAAAGCAACTGATATCTGTGCAGTCTACCTTCCAGACCCTTTGAACRGTGACGGTACAATGCTTTTGGCTAGATCCTACTGCTCCACCAAAACAAGAGAGGAAAAAAGACTCCAAACTCATAAGACTCCTTTTTGCATGTCTTGATCACTGAGGGTTATGGTCACTCATGTCAAACTACAGCTCACATGAAACCCGCACAGCTATCATTTGTCAGTTCTTTTTCTTTACTGCCTTTGTCTTACTAATTCCCAATATAATTGGCAGTGTTTATCAACAGGAAGAGATCTGAGTAGAGTCACGAAGAGCAAACTGTCCCATCTCCGTAGCRCTCAACCTTCCCCCATGGCAACTGGCTTCTTTTCTAATCACTTTTGGGCATTTAAATAGCAAAGCGCAGGTTCAACTGTGTGGAGTTGTATGCACATACACTACAGAAAGAAAACAGAGCAAAGAGAGAAGGCTGAAAAAGCTGCATAATCAAGCACATGGGAGAGTGAATAAGAAAAATGCACTGCAGAAGAAATAACAATGGCCTTTTCATGTTTTCCCTTTAGGATTTATGAAAAAACAACAACTCATTTTAAAAATATTCTACAGTTTTGAAACAATCAACAAGTGAAAAAAACATAAGTCCCAGAACGGAGCCTTTTCATCCTGCATCCTGCATCCTACATCCTGCAGCCTTCCTTAGCTGTCTGTACCTGGATACTTTGCATTACTGCATCTCTGACAACTTAAATAGAAATGTGGTTGTCAGCCCCTATGCCCAACAGAAAAGTTGGCARTGAAGAGCAGGCTGTTATATCACTCCTCCAGTAGTACAGACTTAGAMACTCACTTACAGTAACACGTACCTGATCCTGGCTTCCATTTGATTGGCAAAGCAGCCACGGGTTTCACATTGGCAGCTATTGCTGCTTGTTCACGCTTTTCCTGCTCCAAGAGAGAGCGTGACATTGCCATAGCAACCTGCAGATCTTCATCCTTAGTTTCCATTTTGGCCCTCTTTTTCTTTTCCTTTGACTCATCTTTGGAGATCCCTTTGCGCTTTGACGTGTTTGGTTGATTGCTGAAACATAAGAATGCAGCAGGAAGCCCAAGTTAACATAACATAGCTGGACCAGAGACAAGAAACACTGCACACTTCAGAGCAGCTGCCCCACTGCTCTGCCCCACAGAGATTCCCACATCCAGAATAATAAGAAAGCATTAACATTACTTTCTTCCGTTGAAGTAGGAAAAGGATTCCTTATCATGCATAGAATTCAGAGCAATTTGGAGAAAATCTTGTCTGGAAAGGTAAACACAGACTGCAGCCCTGACAAACTTTTTTCTCGGGTGGCAGGGGACACAGAGATGGCTTAAACATCTGCTGTCTCAATCCTAACTTTTGCACTATAAATAAAGGTTGAAATCAAGAACATGGTCACCAAAACTGTTCTTCCAATCTTATGCTTCCACGGTAAACAAGCACTGGCCCTTCCTCAGCACATGAAGACCCAAAACTCCTCTGGATAAATTTCAGGCAGGCACTACTTGTCGTACCCTTACCATTTTGCTCAAATCCCAAAGAGCAGATGCACCTCTGCATCCAGCACAATTCAAAACATTCCCTCTGTTTCCTCCTGGGCTCTGTGGATAAGGCATAACATGTAACCACGACAGCCACAAGTCAAAAAGCTAGGGCCTTGGCAACACAGATACTCAGGAGACACAGCATACTCATATACAGTGTGCTCTGCTTAGTAAGTTCAACCATACCATTCAGTTAATTACCTCTCAGAGCATAAATATTTCTAACAAATTAGTGTAAGATTATTTATTTCCTGTTTTGCTCCTGCCTGCTGACTCATAGTCATCCACCATTTGATCATTTTTGAAGGAAAGCAAGATTTTCACCAAAATTTTACCTAGGATACTTAAGAGAAGCAACACCAAGCTGGGGCACCTGCAGTGCCTGAAGCAGCATTTTAGGAGGAACATCCATCTCCACCGCACAGCGTTTCAAGTGAGTAGATCGGCTCTGGGAAGTTTGGAAATGTTTGCCACAGATCGGACAATCGGGGATTGCTGGTTTGCTGGAGGAGGAGCTCTGGGCTGCCTCCAGCTCATCCAGACACCTGAAGGATGACAGCAAAATAACTAAATAAGTATATATATATATATATATATATATATATATATATATGACAATAAACAAAATTAGTGGCTTTTTTAAACTCTGGCCCAAAAACACAACTCGCCTCCTAAAGCGCTGTAATTGAGCAATTCCAACTATTTAAGTGAGCTGTTTCCAATACTTTTTTAGAGAAGCTTACACTTTTTCTTTTTTTTTTTGAAGAGCTACCTATATGTAATATTTTAACAGTATTTAACATTTACCAGTAAGGAAACTCTTATAAGAGTGCTGACTTCAATTTAAGCCCGCACCATACTGACAAAAGAAAAGACAAGGACCCTTCCCTTAGCCTTCTACTCTCATTACCTGCAGAAAGCAAAGGTCTATAGTGCAATTTATTCATCTTTCAGAATAATATCATCTTTCCCTCAGCAAATGGCTCAGATTTGCAAACATTTGACACACCAAATGTTCTCAGAAAATCATTATTTAATTGAATAGATGGCGCTGAAATGGGCAGATTTAATTGAATAGATGGTGCTGAAATGGGCTGAAATTTTGCTACCCAGTCTGCAATTACATCTTCTCTAAGGTGCTGCTGAAAGCCACACTGGCCTCTTGGCCTCTCATGCTAGTTCTTCACCTATTAATGTGCTGCCCTCGTCGTGTCGTGTTCATGGCTGAAAGATCCTTCTGGCAGATCTGACAGAAAAACAAGTCTTCCTCCTCCAGGCTTTCAGGGACTTCCTCCTTGATCTTCTGCTGAAGGGCAAAAGCCAAAGCACCATCCTCCTTTGTGGGCAGAAGATCGAGGGGAACTGGCACAGAAGGGAGAGATGATTTGAGTTAAACATCTTGTAATGAAAGGCTTGAAATTGTTACACCTGTCATGATTGTTTTACTAACTTAAAAAAATAACTGCAATCTTCCTCTTGCACCTTCACATCTCATTTCTCACAAGGGAATGCAAAAACAGTAGAGGAGAGCACTACCCTGGGAGTGGAAGGTGGCAATTGGTTCATAGCACATTACATATCAGAACCAAAAGGAGGGTTATGTTTTAGCTGAAGTTGCTGGGGAGAACATGGGGTCTTAAACATTACATATTAAAAACAGGAGATTCTCACGTCCATAGAGCACCTGCAGGGCCTTGACTTTTAAAGCACCAAAACACACACACAAAAAAGTGCTATGAATTCAAATTGCTACGGATTCATCTGCATAGAACATACTATTTTGTAAGTGCCCACAGATTTACGGAAGACATGGAGTAACTAAGGGTTATATTTATAAAAGAGCTACATGACATTGTCCCTGAGGAGGATGACTAGATTTACTGATACTGTTATAATCTCAATCTGTTTCCAGAAAGTACATTATCTCTCCAGAATTTAACATAAGACCAATTCAGCCTCCCAAAAGAGCCAGGAGAAAAGTACAGAGATCAATACATTTACCAGTACAGAAAGCAAGTTTTCTCAGACAGTGGAGTGATTTATCCAGTGTCACACGAGCCCTGTGGCTAGCTGTGAACAAAGCCTAGGAATCCAGACTGCTCCTTACACAATCACCCTAAGCAGGCCTCAGCACTCTTCGCGCACACACAGGAGCTAACAGCAGAAACGAACCTTTCTCCCGGTTCTCTTCCTCAGTTTCATCAGAGGAATTCCTACGAGCTGCAGACATGGGCAAGCTATCTCCCAGGTTGTGTTTTAGCTGCTCAGGTGCCACTCTCTTGAACTGCTGCATTCTCTCCACCACCAGCTTTGCTGTCCGCACCTTCGACCCAGCCTGCAGCGGTGTCTTCAAGAGGTCTGAAGAGCAGGTCTCTGGCTGCGTAGCAGGACGGAAGGATAATGTAGTCTGGGAACAGGCACTCAGAGCACTCACTGAAGGGGAGAAAGCACCAGTTTCCCCAGTCAGAATTAAACAAGTAACTGAGCTGCCCAGGGAGCTGGTGGGAAGCTTCCCAAAAGAGCAACCTGAGACAGTCAAAAAAAGAACGCATTTCAACTCTGATCTTCAAACTCCATCCATGGCTTGACTTTCAGGTTCAGAAACAAGGAATAAGTGTTCCTAAAGAGGGGATAACAAGCAGCAGGCAGAGCCAACGCCAGACTAACAGCTCACTGCATCTCTGCTCTGCTTTGAGGCAACCTGTGAGATCAGACCAAAGATTTCACAAGCCCTGTTTCTGAGTGCAGTCAGCAGTAGATAATTAGGAAAGGGTATCAGGCATAACAGGTACAAAATAATCCTTTTCCTCATTGAGCTTATCTATCAGTTTAAGGACTTTGTGCACTGGTGACTGTCTTCTCGTCATCATATTTAGTGATCACTGAAAGACTAATCCTCCAGGAACTAACCTAGCACCTTTCTAAATTTTTTTGGCCTTGGTAACATTCAATGGCAACATAATTCAAGGTTCAATATAATACACTGTGAGAAAAAAAAAAAAAAAAAAAAAAAAACACTTTGATATCATCTAAATTTGCTCCTTGACGATTTGAGGGTGTTATTCTAAGTTCTGATGTTGCAAAAAAAAGTAATTATTCCCTCATATATCACTCAGCACTTAGGTTTTGTCTTACTAGAGGACCATATACCTTTTCCAGGCAGACTTCTCAAGAGCTCTACTGAACAACTGAGTCTTTTCAGCACTAGCCTATTTTCTCTCTGAAAGATCTCAGTGCACGTACCTGTCAGACTCCTCTTGGTAGAGTCACTGGCCACGGTGCCCAGCTGGCTGTCGGGGAGAGGGCTTCTCCTATCTTCTTGTGATGTCCCACCACTACTGCAGGCCACAGTATCATCATCTTCTTCATGCACTCCTGTTAGCACCTTAGAACCCAAATTTTGTGGCAAGTCTTTTCCCTTTACTACTGGAAAGCAATGATCAATTTGGCTCCTAGAAACAGTTTTGCCTGTTAATTTGCTTCTTGTAGTGGTCTTTGTCCATTTCTGAACCCTCTTTGCTGCTTCAGTATCCCCATTTTTTTTCTTTGCCCTACCCAAAATATTCGCCCACAATTCTTTAAAATCATTGTCCTGTTCATCCATGGTACTGCAGGTTGCAGTAAAGCTGCCTGGCAGCACTATGGGTATGGGAAAACAGGGGAAGATCTCAGGAACCGTTCAGGTCTGCATCCCCTGTGCTTCGCAGTCTTCACTGAGTCCTTTCCACCAACTCAGAGATCTTCATTCTTCAGACTCCAGCACCTCTCCACTGTTATAACAGGGGCCTTTCTTCTTTGATTAATTCATCTGCATAGAACATATTATACCACTTAGTGCCACACATTCTCCAAAGATCCTGTTTACTTTCACTCAGCACAGTGATGACTTTCTTCTTCAGAGGTTTTTGGAATATAAGTTAAGCATTTCAATTTGCCCAGAGTATGTGCAGAATCCTCATGGTACGCTAGAGGGCTTCAGAAAGACTTACTGAAGCCCTTTAGCAGAAGAACTTCTAAAAGGTGGATATGTAAGACGGCATATGCAGATGCAGTGTGAAACAGGCCTTTGGTACCACTTTGAAGGAGTTCCTTCAAAGACTCTTCTTTGAAGAAGAGATTCTCATATAAAATAGTAAGCAGCACGTAATAATAATACCACATACTGACCCAAAAAAACTAATGCAGTACTTTCAGTACAGACAGACACAGGTCACATTCCAAAGCACGCTGACCTCTCTTTCAAATTGTGTGGAGCAGAATTTGAGATGTCTCACTTGTATATGCACCAATATCTACATTTATATAACACAGGAGCAGTGAAGGTATTCACTCCCCTCCCAGGATATATGAAGGTATTCATTCCCAGTGAAGGTGAGGAAGAATGACTGTTACTCTAGAGTGCAAAATTCTTTTTTTTTTCTTCACCTTGCCCCCATGCTAAAAAGTAGGTAATACAGTAAGACTTATCAGTGCTTGGTCTTTCCAAAGAATTTCTTGGACAGATATGAGAGCACCTCTATCAAACATGCCCACCCTTCCTTCTTTCACCTCTGTGGCCTTACCTCGTCCTTTGCAGACCACATTTCATAAACTGTTGTCAAATACATCAGGTAAACAAACTGAGAGAAAATATTTTAAAATTAGTTTCTTAAACGTTCTCTATAGTAAGAATAACAGTGCTAGTTAGTGGTTTCTTGGAACAGCAATAGGTACAACAACATCCAGATGGAAAYATCGTCAACCCCCGAGCAATACTAAAAGTTGATTTCTATTCTTAGACATTTTGATTGTCCTTTTCTTCCTAGCCCTATGTTCACTATGGTTCTGGCTATTTYACTGGAGCTTTTATATTGCTCCCAAAATCCATTTCTTTCAAAACTTAAACAGAGTGTTTCACTTGGAATGGCAGCAACTGTGCTTCAGCTTCTCCAATAAAGCTCTGGGCACCAAAAGACTCAAAATGCAGGAAAAACACAAGCAGGATTGTTTTCTCAAATGGCTTTGCTGCAGTCAGGCAGGGCCAAGGAATGTTGGTTACACACTTGCATGGGTCAGCCTTTCCTATAAGCAATTACAGATGTTAATGGATTTATTTATTTTAAACTCAACCTCCTGAACCTGCAGAGAATTTTGCTGTGAATCTTGGATCAATTCCTGTGAGAGAGAAATTGAAGCTTTCTGTAACCAGTTCATAAATTTAATTCTTTTTAGACAGRATCTTGGAGTAGTTATCACTACAAATTGACGATGTTTTTTCTAAGTAGAAAGTGGCCTGCAGAGAATCTCACATCCTCCATGGCTTTAAATACCTCTCATAGACATACACATACACGTGTCATATTATTTATGGTGACTTCCTGATATTAAACTTTGACAAAGGCTGACCCTTTTGTTTGCAATTAATACTGAATGCCCCAGGAAGATCATGTGAGATGTATAAACAAGGCAAACCAAAGAATTCATCCATCTTACTCCTCCATCTACAGACTTGTACTGAGATGTAGGCACAGAGCAGGAGCCTATAAAYAAATCTGATCATGCTGTTATCGATGTACATTAAAGCCTCTTTGGCACCATTTTGTAGAGTTGGTCAAGTAATGGTTTTGCAAAATWAATACTTTCAATATAGAATTCAATTAACTTTGGAAGATTTGAGGACTCTACAAATCACACAAGCTGGTCAAATAAAATCAACAACAGCACTTACCTATCCACTTAGATGTCAAGTCTATTGCCCAACTGTACCTTTTGACGTATATCACCAAAAGAGTACAGAGCAGCAGAAGATYGAACCTAGAAACTGGGAGGAAAAGGTTATATTTTAGTGTATTTTTACTAATTGTTCCTTTTGTTTAAGTTCCAAGTTTCAGAGGATGGAGAAGGTGCTAAGTTTTGCCAGTTTAAGTACCTGTGTACTTAAAATATGTACATGAGTTAAACAAACACGTTACTCAGAATCTGCTCAGCCCAACACTGTATTCCCAGCAGTGGGAACAGCACTGCTCCTGTAGGAAAAATAAATAAATAAAATAAAAAAGCACATAACTCTTCAGAAGTCAGAACAGATCAGACTAGGTAAAGTCCTGAATAACCCAATGCAGTTCTACAACTCTAGAGTTGACCCTATTTTGAGCAGAAAGTTGGGACTCCTGAGGTATGTTCTTTCTTGCATTTTCCTATGATACTATGAATAGTTCGCTCTTTTTTTTTTTTTTTCCATCTGGGACTCATCTTGTTTCCGAATAACTTTCGTGAACCCAGAACCACAACTCTCTACTGAGACATAATGTGAGAGCTGCACAGTGCAGGTTCYTCGGCTTTGTGCAAGTGCAGATATAATATATAACACTGAGGAGAGAGAACGGGAGTTGCTCAGTGTGCAGACCACAAATATAAGCATAGAAGAGGAATTTCAAGTCAGGTACCAACCTTTCTGTTCTAGTCTCTGTCAGTCCTCCTGTGCCAGACAAAGGTAACTGAAACAGGGAAATAGAGGCAATGACAAATTAACAAGCAAGAAAATAACAGTTAAAAAAAAAAAATCATCAGATTTCAACAAGCAACCTTAGCAATGACCAGCATTAATGTCTATCAGATACTGCCCACTTATGTTCCCTCACAACCCATCAATGCATCATGTTCACATTTCCTTTACAGCAACCCCCTCCCTCACTAGTAACTTGTATATATGGAAAAGCATTTTATATTCCAYAAAACTTTTATCATGTTCCAGACATGAATTTTAAACCAGTACTTACATGACAAAAATGCCCTTCAAGTACTACAAAAACTAACTCCTATTTTAGAGAGCACCTCATTTAAAACGGAAGCATTGCATGTTATACCTCCTATGGAAGGATAAAGGGGAAGTAATCACAAAAATAAAAAGTAACGGTTGTTCAGGTGCAAATTTTCATGGCTTGCATGCAAATACAGTAACATACAAATCAGAAATCTATGCAGCGGGTGTTTCAAAATGAAAAATACAACCGAGAATTAAGCACCGTTTATAAACATTTCAGCTGAGGCCCAAAATGCTACCCAACAAGTAAGAGAACCCTAGTCGTTAAACACTAACCTGATTTTCAGAGACGAAGAGAAATAATCAGAGTAGGAATAAAAACAAATTGGCAAAATAGCAACATGACAATCAAATGGGATCGTGCTGAATATAAAAAAAAACTGTATTAAAATGAGAATGTAGTAAAATGAACATTCTCCAATTGATCTGGTATAAAAGACARCTTTTGGTGTACGTAAAACCCACAGAAAAAAAAAGTGCTATTAGATCATTATTAAAAACTACTAATTCAGAAAACAATGATMTAATGGGATTGATCTAATAGCATCTATTGCAAAATGACGAGGAAATTAGTCTACTCCAAGAGCAGCCCAGCATTTAGCACTCCAAGAGTATCCAAAACTGCAGCTCCTGCCGGTCCCGATTTCCAGCAGCASAAGGAGCTGCATGGCAAGCAGGAGCTGCGGGCGGACGGGCCGGGCGCTCTCTGGCCTCCGAGCCTCGGGCTCCCTCACAGCCCCGGCCCCAACGGCGGCGCTTCGGGAGGGCCGCTGCGGAAGCACCGTCTTGCACAGCGAGACGGACGCTAACGTCAAAGAACCGGCTGACAGGGGACTCGCTGGGTAACAAATTCACACTMATCAACACGGTTCTGTGAAGGACATGATCCCCGGCCTAAGTCGGCCTCTTCTCAGCGAGACTTTTTTTAACGTCACTCCCGTGAGGCGAGAGCCGCCGCGCGCGCAGCGGCCATGGCGGCCCGCCGTGACGTCACGCCGCGTGACGTCACGCCGCGTGGCCACGCCCTCCGCACAGCTGCGGGGCCCGCGTGGCCGCCGCCGCGGAGGGGGGCGCCGGTGCCGCCGCTCCCGCCCGGTCCTCGCCGCCCCCCGCCCGCCGCTGACCTCTCCGCCGCGGCCCGGGCTCCCTCCGCTCCTCGCGCCCCGCCACAGCAGCGGGAAGCGCCGCGGCCAGGCGCATGCGCTGCGCCCCAACGGTTCGCGCCTTCCTCTCCGCGGGCGGTGCGCGCATGCGCGCTCGGCGCGGGCCGCCCAGCCGCCGCGCAGGCGCAGCACAGGCGTGCTGACGCCGAGGCGGTTGCCGAGGTGACGGCCCCGCCCTGGGAGCCGGGCCCAACGGTCGCCGGTCGCTCGGCGGCGCCCCCTGAGGGGAACCCGCCCCAAGCGCGGGAAAAAAWCGAAATTCAAAGTGAGACACTAAAATATAGAGTAAAACACTAAAATTCTGCAGCGCTCTCGGGCAAAAATAGCGCCAAAACAGGAAAACGTACAGAAGGGGCGCTTCTGTTAAGAATTAAGGTGTTTGAAAAATCCAAAGGTACGAACACATAGATGTTAAGGAGGTAAGAGACAGAACCTCTGCTTGTGAGCAGTCGCTTCTCCAAATCTGTGGTTAAAGCCTACAGTGGTCATTTGCAGGCCACAAAGCTGCTGCTAAAGTCCACTAAATCTTGGTCTGGGGATTTAACAAGCCCTTTTCTTCCAGTGAAGCTGRAAGGTGAACAGCTCCACAGCTCAGGCTGCCACAGAGCCCAACAGGCGACTGGCAGAGAATTACCTCTCATTTGTGCTTTCTGCTACCTGGAGTTGACAAGGAAGATGGATGTCACCTTTCCACAGCATTCAGTTAGGGCTTTGAGATTCTGTGCTGTGTTTTAACTTCAGGCTGTTTCAAAAGCAATTGAGTTAGTTGTGGCTAAGACACAACATAGCATTTTCCTCAAGAAGAGTTACTTTCTTTTCCCCAAGGTGTAAACTTTGGGATAGTGCTCACCACTATGCACTCCTCTATCTCTTCCTGTAAACCTGTCAGATAACTATGTAGGTCCCATTCACACAGTATGAGTTAGAGGGGATATATTTCAAATTAACTTGTTAAAATCTAGACATTTCCTCCCGTTCTCCTGGAAGGCAAAAATCAAATGAAATTTCCAAGAAAAGTCACCATTCAATGAGGGAATTAGACATTCAGTGCACACTGAAAGTCTAAGAACTTCAAATATTCTATGCCCTACTAGGAAAAAAGAAAAAAAAAAAAAGCTTAAGCCTTGATTTCTTCAACACAGAAAGATTTCTTTCAACATATTCTTCAAGATAAGTAGCATAGGAGGTGTTGTAGTTTGAGACCACCCAAGCGATTCAGACACGTTAGCAAAGACAAAACTCAAGTTGATTCTCCCTCTGCCTCCTGTTACAGCTCGGCCTTCCCAAGTTTCGCATTTTCATTTGGGACCATTCCATTACATGCTTACTGATTTACTTCTGGAACAGGTTTTAACCTAGTTATCCCTCATTCACTTGGGCTACAAAAGGAGAACCCAGTTTTGCTCAGCTTCACAGACTGCTTCTTGTGAACTATTACCTGACCTCAAATCTCATGCAGATACTATCTTGACATTGGGAGTAAAATCAGGCAGAGGTTTTTAATGAGCAGGTTTTTAACCACATAGACTTAAGAAGAGGGGGAAACTCTGCTTCTTTTACCATGTTTTCATCCTTGCTGCTGCATGTAAGTAGTTTTAGGGCAATTAGGAGTCCTTATAACTTTATTTACTTACAGAAGTCTTTAGTCCACACATTCCTGCCAATTACTCCATTTTGATCTGGACTGATGGCATATTTTTTATCCTGGGAGGAGTTTCCAGATAAACAGGATATTGCCCAGGAATGCTTTGGGGAACAGACCTTTCCATTTCTTGTTATGTTCATATTGCCTGTCTCATCCTGGGAGGTTCTTGTCTATAGGCCTTTGGACCKTGGAGAAGTAGTCGGTTCTACTTTGTGTTGGGATTCTTGAGTCCTGGGTTACGCTCCTAAGTCAGATTCACKCTTGATTCTTAGGGAAATTTATTTCGTCTCCATATGGACTTATTTATGCAATAAATAAGAATAAATCTGACTTAATCAATCCTCCCATCTTCCTTGTCAAGTAACAACTGTGAAGCACTATAGAAGTGCTAAACATTATTAATGGCTCACAAGTTCCCTTCTTTTGGAAACAGTGGCCATTTCTTCCCATAATGTTTTAAACAGTTGCTGCTCGAGGAGCTTAGATTGCAGATTCCTGGCCCRCGGTTTGTCCATAAATCATAGAGCTGGATCATACCCAAGACACCCTTGATAGTCTCTGCAGGAAGTCTGGACAACAGAAAACTGTTCTCAATCTGGCCCAGCGAACTACCTAACGGTCCAGTCCAGTTTCAAGATCCTGAGCCAGATGTGAGAGGRATTCTGTCCAAGTTTAAAAGCACGAGGTCTCAGGAATGTCCTTTCAAATTGGATTTCACTGCCTATAAATATTTTCCATCTCCTGCCTTGGAGAATATAGGTTTGACTCCACAGCTGACAAGCCTGGGCAGAGCAAGAGAGAAGGCCACACTGTTCATCACCGGGAGTTTGTCAGCACACAAAGTGTTACTTATAGAGAAAACTTTAAAAAGAAACCAAGCCCATACTGAAAGCGACTTCTGAACCTAAAAAAAGACACACAGCAGTTTCACAAAGTTCCAGTAAAAGTCAGACATTATAGACTAATTTTCTGCACAGAGTGGGGCTGAGCATTGCTTACAGCCAGAAACTCAAACTCCAGATTTTTTTTTGAGGTTGGAGACCCTCAATTCTCTCCCATGGAAAAATCTGGTAGAGCGAGCACAAAAGCAAAGGAGACCATCAGCCCCCATGCCCCAGCTGGTCCTAAACAGCTTCCTATGTCTTGCTTTTACCATCACCTTAGAAACAGCTCATCCTTTACAAAGGTTTCATTAACCAAAGTGCCTCTGCTGCATTCCATGGGGACACCCTTTCAGGGCCAAAGCCCTTTGGAGCAATTTGCCTATATTGCTMTCAACAGTTTTTGTTCATCAATCTAATGCCATTAAATCTTTCCCACTAGGATCTGTTATGTTAAGCATATATAGAAATACCTCTTTCTCTCCACAGGTATTTGCTAAGTAAAGAGAAAAGCTGAAACAGAGAGGTGAGGACTTGGAGCAACAACTGGTACATGAAATCATGAAGTTTACTGCATCAAAACAGCACAATCAAAAACGGTACTTCTGTGTCAAAGCACCCTCCTGATCCTGCTGCTTCTGCTCCTTGCTGCATACAGGCCCATGGAACTGTCATCGCCTCCCCGGGTTGGATGTGCTGAAGTGACAAAGGGTGAGTTTGCACTCCAACAGAGGCTTTGCTATCTGCTAGTCACCAACACCTCAGGGCAAAAATTAGCACAGRGGACTGCTGGGATTCCCAGGGGATTCCCAAGATTGGAAAGGTTAAATACACGTCAGAGAACTCATGCTTGTCTTGGAGTAAATATGCTCTGTCTCTTGAGTGCATCAGATTTTAYGAGCTAGCCTCAAGCTTCAGTTCAGGCAGACATCTATCAGCAGATGCTATCTTAGCCACTTTATCAGTGAGCCCAGGGTGACCAGCCTGCAGGCTAATGCAATCACCTGCTGTACTGTTAACACCATAAACTCAGCAAAGCTTTTCATTTCTTCCTTTGGTGTTCATGAAATACACTGTATTACAAAGGCCTAGCCACATGGCCACATTGCATTTCTCCTAACCTATTTGTGCTGCACAGCTTTGACATGCATGAAAATCTAGCATTTTTTCCTGTGTTTTTGCATCAATTTTGATGGCAAATGATCTTACATCTACTTAGAAGCCAGGAATGCTGCCTCCAAAGAGTACAGCTGAGCCCACAGACATGGTCTGCTTCTAGGAGTAAAGCCCTATGCCTCTTTACCTACGGCAGCGTAGTTGCAGGCTTACTCTTCAGAGCTTGAAAGYGTGGTAACACAAAGACTAACAAAGTAGAGTGAAGGGTCTGGAAAAGAACAGGAATTTATTTATGATAAATACAGATCAGCTGGACATGCAAATTGTCATAACCAGGACTTAAAACCCTATAGGCTCTCCAGAAAGCCTCATTTGGTGCTCCTTTTCTGCAGCAATACCAAGATGAACTCAATTATCCAGCAGCTTGGAGACCTTTTCTGCCCTGGGATTGTACTGACATTGTTCCAGCTGCTGTAAATAACTGCACAGGGATTCATTCTTCAGTGGCCTGGGGCATGTGGAGGGGTGTAGGAGAGGAGCTAACTGGGATTCACAAGGCCATCAAGTATTCTGGGAAAAGACATGTCTAGAAATGGTATGAGGTTGCCAAAAATCCTGGACATTGTTTTATCTGCAATCTCCAGATTTTATTGCTCCTAAGAACATAGCACTTGGATCAGGCCAATGACATATGATCTAGTAATTGCAAGTGCCCTGTGCAGTAAGGCCTGGAAAACCCCTGCAACCCCTTGTACATCAGTTAGGTGAACTCCTCACTGCACAGTACCTGCAAACAGACAGATGCTGCAATAG